TTTTTTTAAAAAGAATTTTTAAATATTTATTTTTGAGAGAGAGCGCACACGCGCGCGCACGTGGGGGAGGGGCAGAGACAGAGGGAGACACAGAATCCGAATCGGGCTCCAGGCTCCGAGCCGTCAGCAGAGCCCGACGCGGGGCTCAAACCCACGAACTGTGAGATCATGACCGGAGCTGAAGTGAACCCTTAACCCACCGAGACACCAGGCGCCCCTCACGTGAAAGTTTAACCCGTGCGTGTGCATTTCGTCTTCTAAAACCCCACACGATGGCCCTCTCGTGACTCGATGCGTCAAGCCCCGCCCCCGAAACTGCCTCTCCTACGGCGGCCGGCCTGGCACACAGCACACGGCTCACTTCCGGTGTGGCGCCGGCCAGCGGAGAGCGTCGGCGACCGGCCCACATTTGGGCTCCTCTGAGCCAGGGTCCAAAGAGGGGGGGGCCTCCCACTCACTGTCGCCTTCTCGTCCTCCCTAGGGCCCGGCCCGTGGGTGGATGGGCTCAGTCCCAGCTCTGGCAAGGGTCACGTCCCTATCTCCAAGGCTCGTAGGAGGCAGAGGGGACAAGCGCAGTCCTGTGGTGGGCGGGCTCGAAGGCGGCCTCTGCCGCTCGGTCCGCGCTGTGTCCCGGGTGAGCGGGCGGGTTTCACCAACAGCCGGTTGCTGCACAGCCACGTGCCTGCCAAGTGGCCGCTTCCCGGCACGACCCATTTACTACCGAACCGACATGCTGACGTCGTTTTTCTCTCCGCGCTCTAGTCTGCACTGACCAGCTTGTAATTCTGTCTTCAGAATAGTCTTAGGAGGAGTGTGGACGGCGGAAGGGGCCGAGGTGGAGGGGCTCTTGGCGCACTTCCGGTGGACGGACTTTCTGTGAACGAAAGCGGAGCCATCTCCAGGCATCTGCAGTGTTCTTTCCAGAGGGAACGAGTAACACGTATCTTTAAAAGCCTTCCTTGGGGCGCCTGGGTGGCGCAGTCGGTTAAGCGTCCGACTTCAGCCAGGTCACGATCTCGCGGTCCGTGAGTTCGAGCCCCGCGTCGGGCTCTGGGCTGATGGCTCAGAGCCTGGAGCCTGTTTCCAATTCTGTGTCTCCCTCTCTCTCTGCCCCTCCCCCGTTCATGCTCTGTCTCTCTCTGTCCCAAAAATAAATAAACGTTGAAAAAATAATAAAAATAAAAGCCTTCCTTCAGCACCGACGAGTTCACAGACGTTCCCGACTACACACACCAGCTCTGTGTATAGAAGGTGTGTGAAGACAGAGAGGCGAGGTTTGAAGAAGGTGGCCTCAAGGACAGGAGTAACGTGGCCACAGGCCAAGCGATGCAGGCGGCCACCCGACACTGGCAGGGGATGCTCACCTAGAGCCCCTGGAGGGAGCATGGCTCTGCGACACCCCGATGTTGGCCCAGTGATGCGGATTTCAGATTTCTGGCCTCTGGACCTTTGACAACGATTTTCTCTTGTTTTGAGTCACCAAATTCATGGCAATCTGTACTACAGCTCTAGGGAGCTGACACGCCATCCTGATGGCCGGGGCAAACAGGGAGCTCCGAGTGCGAAACTAGCACAGACCTTGCTCGGGTTCCTGCCATCTGAGGCTATCAGAGGAAAAAGCTGAAACAGACCGGCTGTCAGAGACGACATGTGCACAGCCACAATTTCCATGTTTTACTTAAACCAAACAGTACGCCTTTCCCATTACTGTCTGGCAGAATTAGAACCTTTTGTTTTATTTGAAAAAATATTACAGACACTGTCCAGCACAAATCAACAGCCAATATCATATTTAAAATGGGTTAGGCATTCCCAATAAAATGAGGAATAAAGTAAGGATGGCCACCACTACTGTTATCTTATTTCAATTCTGAGATGCACCTCTAACATTTCTGATATTGTGATGTGATTACAAGGTGTGTATGTATTTCATATGATAGCCCCCCCCCCCCCCGGGGCTATTGTTGAATCAGGAGCATGCTTTATGCTCAAAAGTCTTAGAATGAAAAAAATATGGTACTTAACATTGTTTCGGAAATTCTAGCATATCCTAAAGCAGAAAAAAAGATATGCTAAAAGTAAAGAAAAAACAGATTATTTGCAGATAATATCAGAACTGCAGTTGACCCCAGAATGAAAAATTCTTAGAACCAATAGGCAGTCAAGGAATCTGGCTGGATATAAGAAAAATATACAAAACACAACTTCTTTCTTATGTGTAGGGTAAAAATACTGTACTCTTAACAGCAACTAAACCATTAAAAAAATAAACATCTAGGAATAATCTTAAGAAATGTGAAAGCCTACATGTGGAAAAGTATACAACTCTGCTGAGGAGTGTATTCTTAAGTACAAGGATACACCAACCCCAAATGAGATGGCGGGACAATTTACGAACTGAGCCAGAGTAAGTAACTGGTCACTGCAAGTTCTAATGAGGTCAGGGCAGAAAGGACTGAGTAGCCGACAAAGGATTACTTACACTGTCTTCATTCTCAGCAGTCTGGTACGACACAAGGATGGAGCTCCAGGCTGACAGGGCAGGACCACGTTCCCTAAAGCATGTATACTGGTCTGACATGTGACAGGGAGCCAAAAGCAGCAGGGAGGGAGGAAGGGTATGTCAACACAGGGAGCTCGGCCAACTCATCGGCTTCTGGGGGGGGGGGGGCGGGGAACGTATTTGGAGCCTTGTCTTACAGTAATAAGCCAAAATAGGTTACAAATGGATTAAAAGGCTATTTGTAAAGTATTCTAAAAAACTAAGTCAGAATGTCTGACTTGTTTCACAGCAATGGAAGACGTCTGTTCACTGCAGATAAAGTTTTGTGGTTCAAAAAACAGGACAGTGTTTAAGAATCAGTTTAAAAATATATTAATAAAAACATGAAAGCAGAGAGGGAACCCATTACAACACACGTGGGACCCAGAGCTGTGTGCGCGTGTGCGTGTCAGACACTTACACACAGTGGTGAGCGGTGAGCTCTGCTCTGCAGCCGGCACACCAGCCTACCCATCAGCCCCATCACCCGAGAGGAACACAATCACAGTCCCCATGTTGCAGAAGAGGAAACTGAGGCAGACCAAAGCCACGGAGGTTGCTGGAAGTCCCAGAGCCAGCACTCTGGCTCACAGCAGGTGGCCTTGGCCTTAAGCCATCCCCACGTTGTACTTTTATCAACAGTACGGTTGATAAAAAG